ATTGGCTAAAAGACGTATCATCGACCACACGTTTCCAAACATCATCGGAAGTCGGGACGAAACGAAACGTCATCATCAAATACATGTAGCAAGTTTTTTTTTTTTTTTTTTTAAATTTAAACTGTGTAATAAATTAAAATCTTATATATGTTGAAAAAAAAATTAGGATCAGGACGTATTTTTAGGTAGGGTCGGGTTACCGGAAACACACCACTTTTTTTTAGGCCTATTTACAGTGAAGTCTTCCTGATGTGCCAAAAATCAGGACGATAAACTCAGTGTCATTGATGTCTTCTTGAAATCTTGTGTAATTTTGTACTATTTTTTTATGTTTGGTCAAAAAAAGTTTAGGGTAGGATATTAAATTTAAGATAAAGCGGGGTTATTGGAACCTCACACATATTTTTGTTATTTGGTCTTTAATGTACATATGTGTACTGGCACTGCCTGTGGCCACACTAAGCGACTAGTGTACAATTACCAATATTGCAATTTTTTGTCTATTTGAGATTGCTTCTAAATGAGCAAATACAGTGAATTATATTTCAAAGAATTTATCCCTAATTAATCCTCACATTTATCATGTAACTACTAACTAGTATGTAGTTTTATTGACTGTCCTAGTTTTTATTAACAGCCTATTTCAGTTCCCAGATAGGATTTTAGAATGTCTATTTCAGTGGAAAATAAAAGACAAATTTAAAGTGCACACAACACAGACCATACAGATTTTGTTCTTCAGTCCTACCCATGGCACTGTGCATAAGCCTAAAAGCATATATGTTTTAATAAAACATTACTTCTACAAAATTGTGAATATTTCAACAGGATTAGGCCACCCATTCTTAATATGATGACAGGTGTGCATGAGAAAAAAAAGTTGAAAAAAAACCCTTTATTTTCTTCTAGGCCTCGCTGACTGTTCTGAGTAATGTAATTATTGTAAAAGGTTGCGTTGAAAACACCCTGTCAATAAAGCCTCAGAGTAAATACTGTTTGATTACTCTGCATAATACCAACTTGCTAATGCTGGCTTTATGAAATATGATGAGAATAATTATATATTCAATATTAATATGACTAGTAACTATGTATATTGAAATTGTACAGTTAGACAAAAAAACATTCATACTCAAAAAATCACTGTCATAACATTAATTCAACAAATATTTAATATTGCTTTTAATAGCATAATCAATCCATATAGATTGGGTGAAAGTGGAGAAAAAGGTACCGTATTCTTTCAGATCAATCCATGTCCCTCAATTACAAGCTAACCACCCCTATGCTCAATAATAATTTGACCCTGTCTTGAACACTTGTAGGCTAGCCTGTCTTTATTTTTGAGGCAATCTGATAATACACCTGGGTCTTGGGGCAATTAACTGATTTGCTGTCATTACTATCAGTGTGAGTACACCCCATAATTACTCAGAAAGACAGATCCTTACTTTTTACAACTCCAGGATTTTCTGAAAATGCTCGGATAAATCACACTTACTGCGGTTTTACTTAACGGGACATCTCTATTGTGAACTCACTTCTAACCTTGTATATATCCTTTTTATAGGCTGGTATAGACCCTGAACCACAATTAGATCGAAGGAGAAGAAAAAATAGTTTCTCTGATGATGATGCTGCACAGATTCAGAAGTAAGTAATTTTTTTTAAGCTTTCTGCCAAGTGATTATTATGTGTACTATACAACTGTGTACTAACTGATTACTAGTATATTGAATCGTAGAGTGTTTAACGCATTGCTGGTTTTTCCATTCATTCTGGCTATCCATGGAAGCTTTCAGCAGGCAGTGCGTCAAATGTAACCTTTATCCCAAGCTGATTTTGAAGTTATTTTGATTGTATTCCTATATCCTATATACACCAAATGAATGGAATTTTCTGCTCACCTACAGCTCAATTAAATGGTATGCCTATAAGGTGTTGGTCCTGAAATGATCTCTTAATTTGACAATGGCCTCATAAAAAGTGTTCAGATTCATTACCTTTGTGTTGTTCACTGCATATGTTTGTATAACGGCGATGCGAAAGTTTGGATTTAAAAGTCTGTAAAAGCAGTAGTGATTTTTGATACACTGTGTTGTGTGTTTCATTCATTGAATGATCCTATCATTTGCTTGTATATAGATACCAGCATGGTTAGCTTTATGTCTACTAAACAAATACTGCTACAATTGTGTCCAATTACGAACCTGGTGTTGTGTTTGCTACATTTATTGTCTCTTAACTGCTACCTTAGAACTCAATAGAGTAAACAATCACCCTGCTTACTACATAGCCGTCATATTAGACAATAACTATGTTGCCATAGTAATGACAATGCCTTGTCTTTATATCTTGGTTACACTCTGCTATAAAAATCACAAATTCAACCAGATGAAATGGTTGTCATAGTTACTAGCATTTAATGTGAATTTAAATTTAAATGGTTTTTAAAGTTTACTTGATCATTGAGTATATTTGAGAAACCATTCTTTAATTGCATCATTTTGGCTAATGGCTATGATTTATTTATCAGTTAAGTTTTTCTCATTTAGAATTACTACCCCCCTCTATAATAATGGTGGAATCCATTGAATTACATTCAGAGGTTGCCCTTATTACTGATAATGTATACAGTTTGCACTCAATAAACATGCAAATGGTGTTGCTTTACAAATTGATAGCTTTACTCAGGGCTTTCCACTGACATTGTTTTATTGAACTCACAATACAAAGCTTTAATGCTAACCATTCCAATTAAAGTAATGTCTCATTCTATTTAGGCTTTATCTTGGCGAAATTAATCCTTAGCAACTGCCATACACCTTCAGACACTGTGTTTAATTTGCACACCTACTGTAAAATACTTTATTTTTGCTTGGAATAAATTTTTGCTGAAGGAATGATTCAGTGAAAATAAAAACCAGCGAATATAACTTTTTTTTTATATTTTACATTCAACTCATCAAAAGTATGTGAAAATAAATTTCATACAATACACCCAAAACGTCTTTTTAGTGAAAATTAATTCCAGCTAAAATAAATTATTTTACAGTAGATAGATAGATAGATAGATAGAATTTTTTTTTTATTTGGAACATACCAATGAAATCTTGAGTAAAGTCCAAAAATAACGATAACAAAACAAAACATTCAGAACAACAAAAACTTACAGTATTAAAACATATCAAGAATATAGAAAATAAGTTTTGCAAAAATGCTAAGAATGAAAAAATCATTACTTGAAACAATAATAGGAAATAATTCATTCATGCTAAAATCTTCCAGCTTTGGGGCATAGATGTATAAAGCTGCAAGGAATCTAGATCTTTGTTCTTTGATTTGCCAATTATTACCGTAAAATCTGTATTAGAAGCCGCATCCCTAATAGAAGTCGCACCCATTCTTTTTGAATAATTGAGAATCAAAAATCATCATTTCTCATATGTGTAGATGCTCTAATAGAAGCCGCATCCCTCTGTTGCTTTGTACCATTTTAATAGAAGCCGCAGCTTCTAATACAGATTTTACAGTACAATATAAAATGTAATGTTTCTCATCCCCTACTTCATTGCATTCATGGAGATTACATAGCCTGTTTTCCTTCAAAATGCCTTTATGTCTACCGGATTCAATGGGAAGAAAATGTGCAGAAGTTCTAAATTTAGTATAAGCTATTCTATGATTTTTATTTTTAATTTTTTCCAAATAATGTTCAAATTCAAAATTTTCTTTAGCACACTTGTAAAAGTCAAGCTTACAATTGTTCAACAAATTGTTTTTCCACTTCATACGGTACAAACATTTGAGCTTCTCTTTAAAAATATCACAAAAATTGTTCTGATGTGGGTCTGAATTAGTTAGATCTGTTATGACTAGTAATTTTTGTATAAAGTTAAGCCATGGGTCATGCACAAGAGTTTTGGATTCTTCATAGGCTGCATCAATGATAGAATTGTTTTTTTTTTACATACTAGTCTTTGATAATATTTCATAACTGAAACACAGATATCCAATATAAGTGGATATTGACCTAATTCACCTCTACATGGGTCATTAGATGCCTTCCTGTGCACACCCAGAACTCTTTTACAGAATTTAATATGAAGTTTTTCTGGAATTAATTTATCTGAGAAAAGTTTTGTTTCAAAATTGCAATTGTCAACTGTACATTTATTTTTACCAGACCCCTTGTAGATGTTCAGCATAACCCCTCCCCACACATCAGCCCCATATAAAGCTGTGGGTTTGATAATAGAGTTAAATAGATTTTTAGCCAGACTAACAGAATAACATTCCTCACTGATCCAAAGCATTTTGTACATCTTGAACAGTGCTTTCTGTGCTTTGTCTTGTAGCCTAGACATAGCATTATGAAACTTACCATTTGTTTGAAAAACAATAAACAGTATATAAACACCGGTAAATACCAGCACTCGCACACACAGGCATCAGTTTGAAGGTGAAACAACATTTTATACTATACTAGTAGTTCATAACTCGGGTGGGGGTTGGGTGTGGGGGTGGGTGTAGGGATGTGGGTGGGTGTTGTCAGTCGTAAGCACTTCTTTCTTTCTCTCTGTTTTTGAAAATTACAAATCCTGAGAAATTTTTTGCAAAAACATAGTTTTGTAAAAGTCACTGTAACTGCCCTGACTCTGAGAACTTAAGTGAAAATATTCCATCCTACAATATTTTCTGCTTTTCTTTAGTTCATGAAATTCATGCAAATTTATTGCAAAATTCAAAAGATTTGTAGATCAGCTATTTTTGGAATGCATTATTATAGCATGTGTCTCAAGCAGTTCCCTACTTCCTTTCTTATAAAATTTAAAAAGAAAATACAGACATACTGATTAACCCTAATTGTCACTTATCAGTAATGGCGCCCCCAATTGTCAGGTCATATCCTTCATCACAATAGTATCAGTGGCTGTGCTTTTATACAATACGGCACAGATTCTTGCCCATACATGTAGCTGGTATCTATACAACTAATTACTTTTAACTTCTTTTTCCAGTTAAATTTATAAAACTATTATTATTATTATTATGATTATAAATTAAGTAATTATGGTAGTCATTAATTTTTCAATGATTGTCCATAAAATGCTGTCAAAATTTATCATTTTAATTGCTGTGTTGCATATAGAACTGTACGTACCATGAGTCATACCATGAGTCGAGTCAGTTATATACAATGTTAGTTGATAAACTATTACCTACACACCCTTGGGAGTGAAGGTCTGCCAATGTCAGAGATAATGAAATTTACTTATGCTCTGACTAAATCACCCTCAGTTGTGAGAATTGAGTTTTTCTACTGCATGGATAATTGAACGCACTGAATCCATTCATGCGTTCAAGAAATAAAACCTTATAACAACCAAACAAGCAGAGTATAAATGGCTAGTTTTTGTTAGAGCACTTCTTTTCAAATTGAACAATAATTGGGAAGTTGATAAATATTCAGACATTCATAGCGTTGTTCTCAATGGGCACTGTCGCACATCAATTACTTGCGCTGTAAATAAGACATACAGCCTTACAGTTAGATAACAACCGCTACTCATCAAGCTGGTAAGTACGTGAAATCTGTATCTCGCTTTCTTCTCTTAAAATAAACCAAACATTGTTTAAATTGAGCAGTCATACCTAGAGTATAGCTATTTCCTCCTGGATTTAAATCACTACATTTCTACAGTCTTATTTACTGTCACAATCAATTTTTGTTCAATCATGAAACATACTTAATGGTTGTGCTTTACACATTCCTTGGACGTGTAAAGAAACCGACTTCATAGATTGATTGGATATAATTCTCAATGTTCACCAGTCATACCCACAGTGATGATATAAAATAGGATAGGATAGGATATATAATCCCCTAAATAATCATTTATTTTTCAATGTTGTTAATGGACTTTTTATGGGTGCTACTCAACAATTGCCTTTATTATGTCTTGTTTATGTTCTGCCTGCATTTTCTTGATCAACATAACATGGTAATCAAGCCAAAAATGTGCCAGTTCACAAGGTACAAATATTGAAGTATGTAAAGAGCAGTCTCATATTTAGCTCTATTGGAACAGTTGAAACTTATAGCATAAGGCCAAAAAAAAAATTGTTTTGTTGCCCTCAGCGACCGGCCGAAAAATATGAAATATCGGGTTGCGTTTTTTTTTTATTTAATAGGCCTAAATATTAAAAACTCACCATTTTAAGCAGTAAAAAAGTGTTTCCTCTAAAAGTTAACGATCCTGGACTGTTGTTTGATCTCCAGGGTCCCCGGGGGGATAAGTGGCGACTTTGAACCTCGGGTTGATCTGTATTTAAATAAAAAAACTTTGATTTGACTTTGATTTTTGTGTTTAATATCTTGCATGCATTTGATTGATTCCCATATACATGGACTATTTACGATAACCCCAGTTTTCAAAAGTTTAAAAAAAAAAAAAAATCTACCGACAGACCAATTTTTAAATTTTCTGACTTGAGGACAACATAAGTTTTTTTGGCCTAAGGTGTTTCCCTCACTGAATACAATTTACAAAGAATGATCATGTATATCAGTATGCTGTTCACAACATACTACCATGAACGAAAAGCAAGTGAGTTCATGGCCAATCAAATCACGTTTGAAGGGTTTTTAC